AGAGGAGCGCAAAATATTGAAAAAGACTCATATCGAAGGATGCTAAAATAACGTCGAACTGACTAGGAGCAATTGGATAATATATAGGCTACCTCTGCGCGCAAGCAGATGCAATCGGCATTTGTACGGAGCATAGGCAGAAGAATGCAAGTAAAAGTGAAATGATGATTACGCCGAAAAGAGGGAAGATGCCAGAAATCTCAATTAATGATTCAAACATAGAGGAAACCTAAACCAAAACTTCGATGTCAAATGATGCAATAAGTAAGAGTGCGATAGAATCGGTGCGATATAACAGCACAAAGAACGAACAAACGAATTGCGATACGTGAAAATGAGGAAGAACAAGTTTGAAAACGAATGTTTAGAAATGTGAAATGGGGCTTAGAGGGGTGCAGGGCACCCAAGGTAGAAGGTTTGATCGTCGGCGGAATTTTGATGGGCAGCTTCATCGTCCAATGAGCTGATCAGCTGGGAGCAAAAGAAATGGATGCCGGGGCGTATGATTGTTCACATTTTCTTTTGAAACTAAGAGATTTCGAAACGACTTATTAGGGCGCATCGTACAGAACTGTATGGCGCACAATAAAGATGTGATGAAAAAAAATTCATGCCATGAATTCGGCGCGCTTCTTACCGGGAAATGCTTTGAACTTCCCATGGAACTTTAGAAGGGTACCTAGATGTGTCAATAGAGTCTTGAACGCTGATTACAAACAGGAAACTTAAACTGCTACGTGAACTTACTAAGAAACTTATAAGCCTTCAAAGTTGGAAAAATTGGTACTGAGACGAGCTTACCTGGTGGAATAACAATCGCCATGGCTCTGCGCCAAAAAGAGTCCCATGTTCGTGATCGGTACCCATTTACCCTTATAGAACAAAATCCGGGCAAAAGCAACTGTGTTTCCATGTAGGTTGTACCTCATCAGTAGCATTTTCCTTGCAAATTTAGGGCTCACAACTTTCTTACAGAGTTCGCGTAGCAGTATTAGTGTCCATATTTGCAATCAGCGTAGACTCTATCGATGCACCTAGGTCTTCTTTCAAGGTTCCATGGGAAGCTCAAAACATGCCCTGGTTAGTCGTTCAAAACGGGATGTCTCAGTCGTAGAGTCTTCTGATCAATCTTTTCTTCTATACATCAAGCAAGTTGAACCCTCAAACTTGCTGAAAAACAGTAAATAGGGGTAGAAGTATGCTGAGGAAGCGTCTCATAAACATTTTGCATGAAAACCCAGTATACGTTCTCTCCAGTGCCACGAGGAGTCAGTGGCCTAACTCAAGAATTTGCGCTTGTAACGCACATAGTAGACGTTCACACGTCAAACTAGTGCGATATTCTATTTAGGAGTTCTAACTCCATCTCGAAACAAATTGCTAATGAATCTAGACTTTTCACCCTCACTTCGAGAAAGTGCTGAGAGCCAATAGAAATGAGTAGTGGTCAATGTAAGGAAGAGGTTCAGGTTCAGTTTCAGTAAGCGGGCAACGTGGCGCAAAAAATGAAGGTTATTTACATGTGAAGAATTTTTATGGTGTCTATTCATGGAGTTTCAGCAATCACAATCTTTTGCTCTCAAAACTTGTTCTCGTGGGTGGTGTCGAAGGCACCAGCTACTAAAAGGCATACTACCCAAGGTTAATTTGTGTCAATGATCAATTTGACTTTCTGAATTCGATGGTCACACTTTCTCCGCGTGAGAGCGCCTCGTTCGTGCGTTAGGTACGTTAGAATGCCGCAACGACTATGCCAGAGTATTCAGAAGAAAGACGAGCAGTGGCGCAATACAGAGTTGGAATGGTGTGGGTAGAGTGAATCAACCGCTCAGGAAAGCGCATGGCGACGAGACCGACAAATCCAATTTCAGGCCGCTAGTATTGATGATCCCCTTGTATGATACAGGATCAGCTCGCGAGTGGACCGCAGTGCGGAGGTTCTTGAGACAGATGGAACGGCATTTATTGAGTGAGTCGTAAGTATTGAGTCAGGGCAGTTTCTTTCACTTTTCTTCCCTAGTATTTGTCGTGACCAGGTGTTGACTGAACAGCGCATCGGGGTTCTGGGCCATGCTAGAACGTGGGAGTTGTGGGGTGTTCACACACCCTTGCGGGGTACACTTGCGGCACCGAATGCACAGCGAAGTCTTGCCATGGCCTACGAAGGGCCCTTGACCCCTGACGGACTACGATTAGAATAAAGAATACTAACTATACTGTAAGTACGAGAAAATTAACATGCTTAGATCATCTAGAGTTGACACACCAATACACGGAATACTACAACTATTTATGACTGGGCTTATATTGGGCAACTAAGTTGAAAAAGTGTACAATACATAAAAAGTACAAAATTTAAGCATACTTGATGGAGAGATGAACTACTTGTAAGAAGAAAGAATTGTGGTCGACGCTGCGTGCAAAAAAGCCACGGGTCATGGTCAGGACGATATGGCTGGTCCACCAACTTGGCCGTGTCGATGGTTTCGCCGGCTTCGAAGAGAAGCAATGGACTGACTGTGCTTGATTGGTCCAACCCACTGCCTTCGTTGACGAATGGACGAGACCGACTCTGACAGAGCCGAACAGAGAACCGAACACTGACCTAACTACCCAACTGCGCGCGTAACACACTTTCCCGTCCTTCTAGTACATTCCACGATCGCGGTGAGACCACACCGACCTCGATTGGGGCGCGCTTTCATCCAGGCGCATACCGTGAACCCCAGATCGTACGCAAGTCACGACTGTAATGAATTTAATAGAACCATCTTTATTCTCGAACTTGACAGCCATGCAAGGACTGTAGTGGACTGTGCATCCAAAGTATTTGAGGCAGAAGCATTCTCACAAATTCTGCAGAAATCAGTCATTCTCCAAAGTGGTCATATCTCACAATTAGGCAAACATCGAAGGAACCTCGGACACGTGCTGAATGGTAACTTGTGGGATTGAGGCATTCTTATCCATTCAAAATGATAACACAGGGTGTGATGGTGGTTCATTCTCATCTCAGACTGCGTCGAGCAACGGAGGTCTAAAACGGTGGCGGTGTTCGGATCATCTGCACGGCTCTGGGTTTGTATTCTTGCATATGCACTAACTTCAAGAACATTTCGAAATCTTACACTGTTTTGAATTCCAGTCGCTTCATTGACGCTTCAACGCGAAACATAGCTACTAATTCTAACTGGGTCAGGATGTCCGTTTTGCCTCAGCTGTGCCATCGCTACACGAACTTGCAGCCATGTGCTCACAGCTGAAAGATTGGCGTTATTCTCCGAAATGGCATTCTGGGTCCACTGCATGTGTTTCTGAATACACTGCCGCGCGTACGGAAACCCCGCTTACCATTCAACTTCTCAAAAACTGCAGCATATGAGGCATCGCGCACAAACGCGCTTTACGAGGACGAGTTCTTCACTAGATAGCAATGTGCTATGCCCTATGGATCGTTTAGAATTGGCGATTAGGCAAATTGGCAAGTATTCCTGTAAGCTAATAGACCATTAGGCGGAGAAGACTGCATAAGTATTGATAGGTTTTCGCGGCCCATAGAGGGTTGTAGTCAAGTAGGCGAGTAGGCGAGTAGGCGGCTATAGGAGAGTAGAAGATTAGTCGATCGCTAAATGGATGGGGCACAAATCGATACTATCGCCTGATCGCCTAGTCACCTAGTCGCCTAATCGATGCGTATACTTTTCTTTTTGGAGCACCGCCTAATTGCCTAATCACATACAACCGCCAACTTTAAGCACCACATTACTTTTGCTCTTTTCGTCTTGGTGTTATCTCTCCTATCGAGTATCATCACTTGGTTTTAAGACTTCCTGACGGTCTAGGTCTTCACAAGCATTCTGTTCAACATCAGCACTTTCGATGCACCGGAGGTGTTCATTTTAAGTGTCGCCTAAACCTACACCCTGAAAAAATGCAGGACGAGTTTTTTGGCAAGCTGCCCACTGTTTGAATTCAGTTCGTTGCGGGACCCACGCCATTTGCCACTACCGTAATCGGTTTTGGCGCATCGTTCCTATTAGGACTGTACATTTGAATGGTTGACATTGGTTTTTGGACTCTCTCATTCAGTGTTTCAAAAGGATTGCTTTGCGAACCCAACAAGTATAGTGGCCCGCTCGAGATTCAGGGTTTCCAACCTCGGCGAACGTACAGCTTGATAGTCGCATACAAGTGTGTGATAGTAAACACCTTAAAGAAACGACAAATGAATAGCATTAGGGTTCAAATTCTCCACTGGAGGCCACAAGTAGTGAACTTGAAAAAAGTATACCGGCCCAAAATGCTACTATATTTGCATAATCTAACCCATACAGGTACCAACCCTCCAACACACATATGTCATGGACCCGTAGTTACTCCTCAATCGAATCGCCGCTGAATGGAGTAAAAGCCTAGGGAATCCACGACACAGGACTTCTTCTTGTCTGATTTCCGCGCTCGACAAGATTTACGACAGATGACGTCATTGAAGTTGCTCTCTTTTCTATACTCTAACCGCAAAGGACAACCGCTCATCACCTAGCAAGCATAGGTGAGATCCGCTACCTGGAGGCAGAGTTATCCATGAAGATAACCGTATCATCGCCTGAGCTGCTCAGAACATATCTGCTACATGTAGATCGCCTTTTCTTCCATGACGCTCAACTCGCTGTCATCTCCACCAAACTCCTTCCGTAATTGGTTCAGTTCGCAAGAGCTAAGGATGCTGATTTTTATTGCCATATATCAGTATGACCATTCTAGAATACAACAGAATCGGTTGCACCTGATCACATAGGCTTTCTTCATATTCAGCAATTACTTATTATTACTTCAACATTACAATAATAGTGCTAATAATGAGAATATCCTAGTTTGTTAAAGCCATTGTATCATTTCAACTCTCGTAAACGTCAATGCTGTACTTTCCCTTCTTACAAGCTTTGCAGCTCCGAAATTGAACACCACGAGCACATATTGCATGGGCCCAAATGCGACATTCAGTGCATCTCATCCACTGGGTCTCCCTGGCGTCTGGTTTTTCTGGATCTGTCGGGAGGTAGTTCAGGGTCTTCTTGGAAACAAAGTGAACAGAATAAAATATCGTCGGAATCGACGCGTATTTCCTCCATCGATTGAGTTTGGCTCTTCATTTCTTTGCGGATTTTGGCTCTCTAAACAATAATAATGATACCAAGATGATACTGATCACAATAGTAACAATACCATTTGAAGAAGAGATGCAAATCTCACCGTGTAAAGATCAGCTTTTTGCATTTTTGGTTTTCCACCTCTAACATCTGCTCTGGGAAGAATAACATTCTTTCCAAAAGAGACACCAATGTCGACATCGGCAATAATGCGCATCCGCTCCGCGATTGAAGTGAGAATTACGATGGCGCTGTCGTCTTCTTGCTTGACGAGGGCATTAGCTTTTGCAAAAATTGAAGTGTAGCTCTGGAAACATTGTTACATAGATACTCGAGCAATCAGACGCAGTTGGCAGAACTTACCTTAGAAATATCGTCACGGAGTGTATGCAACTCTCCACGTATATCACGGAAATGCATCGAACTGACTTCAGCGTGCTGCAGTTCAACGACTGGAGGTTCATCGGATGATTCAGTAATGGACACTGGCTCGATGGGGGGATCCTCTCCTAGAAGCAAGGTATTCCAGCGACGAGAACTGAGATGCAATACCACTCCACGCACCGTAAAGCTTTATTGCGTGGGTATGCATGCATGCCACCCCCGCTAGTGCTCCAGATCTACAGGTACACGAAACAGCATAAGGGCACACTTTACATCGCGAGCAATGTATATTGACCTCAAAATATTATGATTCAGGTTAGTTAAATGGTTTTGATTTGAGTAAGTTATGATCACCAACCTGAAGGCATGAGCAGTTCTCGTCAAATTCGACACGATACACTGAATCAGACGTCGTGGCATCAATGTTCCATGTAAAATTGTCAATCTTGTGAATCTTATCCGGATTTCCTTTGTAAAAGCGGACTGCTAGTCTGTGTTGGACGTTGTTTTCGTTTATGCGGAATGACGAGCAGTATTGTCTTCGATCCTACAGAAGAGCAAGTGCGTTTGCTAGTACTGCCCTGAATCAAACCCTCACCTTAACTTCGAAATCTTCAGCTAGCTCAGCAACGGCCTTGATCAGAGTATCAACGACATAATCGATTCTAGAATTAGCTTTTCTTTTCAATTTTTCTTGTTTTATTCGAAGGTGCCACCTTTCCGTATACATGGATGTGCTCATCACAACTCCTTTCCGATTGAATCCTGCCCACCGTCGTATTTTTTCCGAACCTCAAAACGATTAGGACGGTAGTAGAATGCAAGCATTAAGAAGAAGAAGGATTGCTCTCACCGAGATACTCCCCCTGAAGGTACTGAATGAGAGAAAAACAATTTTTCAGACGGAGGTACGTCAGTAATTCACCGACGCGTGAGTGAAACTGTGCTTCGTCACCGATTCTGAGCAGCTCTCTCATAGCTCTGATAACTCCTTTCTGGTGCTCCGGCTGAAACCCGAAATGAGACTAGGCTGCAACTTTTTTTCAAGTTGTACTTTACCTTAACGCATTCCTTGGTTTTTCTTTTCCACGATTGTAAAATGTGGAATCTGCAGAAAAAATGGTCTGCGCTGTGGTTTGGGAACGACAACTTGAATCCGTTGTAGAACGCCATGGCTTCGTCCGAGACTAGGGCTTTTGGTGCGAAGTTGGGGAGTATCCGCTTGATTTCGTCGAAAAGAATTTTCAACTCTTTCGATGTCATCTCAGCTGACAACAGAAAGGCTGAATAAAAGAAATCACAAACAGACAAAAAAAACTATTTTGGAGTGATCAGTAGAATGCTCTGCACCTGCGGGTAAACCACGATCACGCTCGTCAACCACCATTACGGTAGCGAGTTTCAACGCGTATTTGGTGAGATTATGCGTGTCATCCACCGATACTCCCCTGTGGCCATATCGTTCCAACCACTTCTCTTGAAGAGGTGTTATGATGACTGTAACGAATCCTTTGAAAAAAGTGCACTCGTTCATATGAGATGTTTTTGAACTAACCTAACAAAAACCCTTTTCCACTTGGCTCGTCCTGAGCCTTGAAATATCGGATCCCATCTTCCAAATTTCTTTCTATTTCTCTCAACTTCAACGAAATAACATCATCTTTGTGGCGCATCCCCGGAATAAGTTCGTATTTGGACATGATGTTCCAAAGATCTTTTCTGGTAATGAAATACACCTTGGAGTCTTTGGCTTCGTACTGTCTTCTCATTTTCTGGATGATATAGTCGGCAGAGAACTCTGGAAATATGACTTCAGTGACAATGGAACAGTCTCGGAAGTGTCCTTGTCTATACCTTCCAGCAAAAACTTCAGATATTCCAACTGCTCCTCTGTCCATCGAAGCAACGCTGGATCCAATTCGTGGCCTATGTGACCAAAACAGCCGATTGCCTGGACAGTACCGTCATCGTTGAAATACACATTGGTAAAAGCTGAGCAATACGGATGAAGTTTGTTGCTTCTCCGTATACGTTGTTCACCTAGCCCGATCCCTCGCCACAACGACTGCACCTGCATGAAGAACAATGTGTCTATATATCCATTGATTGTTAGGTATAAAGTATCAAACCGCAATTTTAATCTCCTTCTTCCTTCTGTGCTTGATCTACAATAAAACGATGAACATGTCAACTCGCACGCCCTATTGAACCACTCCTGAACAGATTATCTTGCTAATGAACTTCTCATGTCGAAACGTAGTAGCCGACCTGGAAATCTTGTGCATTCCGAAAAGCAAGCTTGTGAATCGTGTAGTCCTGCGGTCTTCCTGCGGCGCCTTCTTCCGAATGCTCCATACTGCAATGCCCCCCCCCCAACTCCTCATGTGTTTTGAACAAAGACAGCATTTCGGAGCTCTGTCCACTTCGGCCAATGCGGAATCCGATGCATCAGAATGCTTGGAGCTGACGTGTAACTTCAGGCCTCTCGTCGTCGTGAAAACTCGACCGCAGAATTCACAGTTCTCCGTTCGCTTCCCTTTGAGCTCCAATTCTGTTTTCTTCATCTCGGATAATCTCTCTTTTGCTGCTGCGATCTCGAGTTTGTGCACCATGCATAAGTGATCGATCAGACATCGTTTGTTCAGGTGCTTGCGGCATATAGGACACTCGGATTCCATGGAGACCTCTAACATAAACTTTGAAATGTTTCTACACGACTCAACACGTGGCTAAGCCTGCCAGAGGTTGGCGATAAACTGGTGTAAACTTCTTCAGATCTCGAGTGAAAACTGTTTCGATGAGGCTACTTTGACAAAATCTTTTGCGTTCGATCCTCAAGTAGCATGAGTATTAAAAATGCCTAGAATCTTAGCTTTCGAAGAGAAGCTCGTTTAAAATGACATAGAGTCCCTAAAATTTCGAATTATGTGGAAACACTAGTAAGCAGAGTAATGCACTTTAACATACGACAACAGAAAATGGCGTATAAGCCTTAGCATATTCAGAAATAAAGACTGCTTGTTAACACTGATAGCACTCATTCCATTCGCTCCATTGTTCAACTGCTGTACAGTATCTTCGATCGTGGGCATGAAAAGTGATTCTAGATGGTAGAAGAAGGAATAAGCCAGGGAGAAACGAAACCTTGCATTAACATGAAATGGAATGAGTTCTAGAAATAGTTTGAGGAGTGTCGCCCACGGCTAAATGTACTTATGTGAATATTTGAATTTGCTTTTGCTTACTCAAGTGCAGTTCTAATCCCGCTTAATAACTAAGATTTTCAAGACATGCTTTTTTCCCCAACCATAATCTACGCCTCCACCGAGTAATCAATATGGAAAGTCGGCGTACCCCTCTACCCCACTTCCCCAGCCTCCTCACCCTCGCACAGCACCGTCTCTCGTCAGTAGATATAATCGGTCGCTCACTAGCAACACTCCGCAGATTACGTTCTGCTGTTAGTTTGAAATGAGAAACACACAGGTAATTGTTAATATTATACAGCTATATCGGCGCGGAGGAGTCAACTAATGCGCGCTTCACCGCCCTTTAGAGTTTGTTAACAAATTCGAAAAACTGTTCCGCTCACACTCGCAGTTGTTAACAAGTGCAGTTGTCGCAGTTGTTACAACTCGCAAGAAAAATATGACGATTATGACGAACAGCGATAATGAATAACGATAATCAACGGCGAGATCCTCAATCAATCAAACAGGCCCACAAATGAAAATCTGAAAAGGACAACAGCTAAATGAACTCATTTAAATATTTGTGTTTGCTTTTGCTTACAATTCAAGTGCAGTTCTAATCCCGCTTAATGAATAAGATTTTCAAGACCTGCGCAATAGCTTCCACTTCCTTCTGTTACCCTTGTATGGGTTTTGCTGTGTGAACGAGCCGCAGTTTAACAGTAACTCAAATTAGTTGGAAATGCGGAAGGCAACTCAACTCTATTCTGACTCTACTTTATAGCTTCGAATGGAAGCTAACTTTTGCGAAGTTGTATACCAACGACATCAGGTCAGTAGTCCTCTCGGCTACGTGAGGTAGTGGTGGAAACCGATTCTCGAGTAGAGGGAGCTCGGGAAAACACTAACAAGGGGGATCTTCCAAGACAAGCCGCAGTTTTCGGAAATGGTTTCTTGCATATCGTAGGTATGCATGTATGGACCACAAAACCATGTTTCTTTTTTCACTGAGCGGTTTTTGGAGTACCAAAAAAGTAGCAAATGAGACCCTTGATTGTTCGATCCCCCGTGGCGACTAAATTTTGCGTTCAAATTGGCGCCTACGGCTTTGTGCCAAACCGCGATAAATGTTGAAATCAGATGCCAAATTCATCGTCAAGACCATTTTGAAACCAACATAAGACCGCCAACCTGATTGCAAAATTTAGTCGCCGCGGGGGATCGAACCATCGAGGGTGTCATGCTTTACTTCTCTTATACTATCAAAACCGTTCAGCGAAAATAAAACATGGTTTTGTGGTCCATACATGCGTCCCCACAATATGCAAGAAGCCATTTCCAAAAAGCGCGGCTTGTTCTGAAAGACACCCCCCCTGTAAGGCTCTGGAGAGTGAGCTCCTCCTTCCCTAAGGCTTATTCGCAGCAAAAGGAGGAACTGCTTCCCAACTATAATCTACGCCTCCACTGAGTAAGCTATATAGAGAGCCGGCGCACCCCTCTACCCCACTTCCGCAGCCTCCTCACCCTCGCACAACACCGTCTCTCGTCAGTAGATATAATCGGTCGCTCAGAGGCAACACTCCGCAGATTACGTTCTGCTGTTAGCTTGTTAAATGACACACAGGTATAGTCGTCGGTCGTTAATATTTTCATACAGCTATACTTCGGCGCGGAGGAAGCCAACTAATGCGCGCTCCCTTTCGAGTTTGTTAACAAATTCGAAAAACTGTCCCGCTCACACTCGCAGTTGTCAACAAGTTGAAACCCTCGGTCCCGAAATGTATGAACCTCCCTCCTCTTCTCTTTTCACATCCTCATGCCTTTCTGCAATCCATCGACCTTAGAATGAGCAATGGACTTCTTTCTACCATGTCAGTAGGATTGAGGTCAAAGGAATGAACGGAGTAAGCCTTAAATCCAATAGGCGCGGCCAAATACAAAGAATCGTCAGCGTTTTTTGTGTAAGTTTAATGGCGACTGGGGGGTGGCGACTCGAGCTCAATATTCCTGTCGATGCCTATCTGACTAATACTAGAAGCCGAAAGATTAAAAAAAAACAACAAAGACTTACGTTGACGTAATCGCAAAAAAATATGGCGGTAGTGACGAACAGCAATAATGAATAACAATAATCGACGACGAGATCCTCAGTCAATAAAACAGGCCCACAATTGAAAATCTGAAAATAAAAAAATCGAAAAAGGGAGACAAACAGCAAGAGAGACAAACTTTACTCACAACCTTGACAAATTCACTGAGCTCACGAAGACTTCCGTCGAATTTTGTACTTGAAGTCAGATACGCAACATAAAAACACGACAAAACTAGCAACAAAGGGCCTTATAAAAGGGGATGATCCACTAGCTTCACTACATGGCGACGCTGAAATCATAATAATAAGCAGTCACATGGAAGAACAACATGACACTGAATGAGAGAGTCCAAAAACCAATGTCAACCATTCAAATGTACAGTCCTAATAGGAACGATGCGCCAAAACCGATTACGGTAGTGGCAAATGGCGTGGGTCCAGCAACGAACTGAATTCAAACTGTGGGCAGCTTGCCAAAAAACTCGTCCTGCATTTTTTCAGGGTGTAGGTTTAAGCGACACTTTCATTTTATACTGTGTCTTATCCCAAAGAAGATCAGAGGTATGGATTGCTGACAGCCAAAGTAAAAATCAATTGGTAAGGATCTGCCGACGACACGTTGAGGATTTTCGCCTGTTCGGTCACGCTCTTTTGCGCAAAGATTCACTCTCTCCACGCCCGAGCTGTCTGTGCTTTCCGCGCGTGCATTCATTCTCGACACTATTCTCACACAGTACAGAGCCATAATCGAGGATTTCCTCGACTGCTATACACCCTGTTGGCAATGATGGACCGAGGACAGGGGATCCTAGTCATCCAGAGCATTAGAGCGGCTTAGGAGAAGTACCGGCAAGTCGTTCTCACACCTTGAATGAACCTCTCAAGTCAACATATGCTCATGGAAAATAGTTATCAATTAGATCCACAAAATCTATGTTACTGCAAACCAAATCTGATAATAAGGTGGTCTTTTGGTGGCAAAAGAGCTCAGCCTCTGCCTGGGATTCGTAGAATGGCATCCGAAGATCGGAGTTGTCAGAGCGTAAACTTACTTAGGAATGGTGAGGCCGAAAAACGGCGTAGACTTAGATGGGTTGCGTGAGACAGGTGTCAGAGTCCGCAAACCTTCGCGCGATTCGGGCGAGACGCAAAAATCGCATGCGCCTCAGTTGAACATATGAAACATTGAACATGAAACAAGTAGAATCATGAACAGTCATCAATTTAACCATCTTCATCAAGCAGAAATAAAAACGAGATTGAAGAGCGCCTCACAGAGTTGATCGGGGCATGAAGAGCACTTCGCAGAATTGATCCGAGCACTTGTGTTTTCTGAACCAATCGGTCGCGCTACGGGTCGAGGTCTCTGACACCAGCCTGACAGTTGTTTATTTGGCACGTCGCGCGGATGCGAAATTAGGAGCGCGATAATTCATCTGCTTAATCGTAAGTGGGCCCACAAATGCATGCGCCTCGGGCGATAACAAGTTTAGGGTGCGGTGTTGGGTGAGTCATTTATTACAGGTGACGAGTTCGGCTTCGTCCGCTATCGTGCGCATTATACGGCAGGCTTCAGCGAAACTGGAGGACCTGTGGAACATCTGCTGATCTACTCCACAAAGCACCTCACTATGGATATGTTAGTCAAATGACCCAAGGGTTCCGCAGGCTCTCCAGTTTCATTGAAGTCTACCATGGATGTGCGTGAAGACGAAGCGGAGCTGGTATTTTTTATCACAACTCTGTAAGCACCTAGCATTTTTCTTGAATCCTGACGACATAGCGATGAATAGGGTTTGCTGTTAATGTCAAAATAAAAATGAAACATGCTTTTCATAATGAATGAGCATCAATGCTTATCTTTGCTCCACATTCATGCTCTTCAAAAACCCTAAAGTTGAGCGGTTCAACGAGTTCTGGCCCTATTTTTATTAGATTAGAAGGGGAATGTATCATTCGCCAAGAAGCTGCTCAAGTTAAACTGTTTATATCAATACAATGTCCCTGCCTCACCCTACATAACGCTTGTAAGTACAGTCCATATCCGGCAGACAGGGTGGGCGGGGCCATATACGTAATTGCGGACTACACAAACTTGATAGTTGTCGCAGCGAACAGCTGATTTATATGCGTGATTTCTACTACTAGATACAGCAGAACATCAGAATAATAGTAGAAATCACGCATATAAATCAGCTGTTCGATGCACAACTATCAAGTTTGTGTAGTCCGCAATTACGTATATGGCCCCGCCCACCCTGTCTGCCGGATATGGACTGTAAGAACACTCCAGTAAAGCTAAAGTGGGTTGCGCAACGGAATGACTCCTTTTGCTTCATAAAGCGTCATGACAGACCTTCTAATTTGCGATCATCCCCTTTACCGACAAACAATTATCCTTTCCATCCTACATGTCACTTGTAAGCGAAAACTCTCCAGCGTCAACGGGGGCTGCGTGATGGAATTGGCGACTTTTGAGTTCTAAAGCTCCTTTTCAGCTTCTGTCAGTTGCTTATCATTTCCAGTGACCCATCAACAATGTCCAGGTAGCACGCCACATAACACTTGTAACGATGGGAGCTCTAGCGTCACCGCAACGGAATGGCGTGGAATGCAACGTAGACTGCGCAACGGAATGGCGACTTTTACGTTCAAAAGCGCTCTGACAACCCTTATCAGTTATTATAACCCCTTTTCACCTAAAAACATCTTGCGTCCCATGCTCCGGTCCCATCCCACATAACACCTATAACTGTGAACGCTCTAGTGTCAATGCGAGCTACCAAACAAAATTAACGACTCTTGCGATCCTAACGCGTCTTATCAGCCCTTATCATCCGCAGTTACTCTCAATCACCCATCAACATCCTCGTCGCACCCCTTGTAACACCTGTGAGTATGGATGCTGTGGTGTTAGCGCGAGCTAGGTAACGGAAGTAACGACTTTCGCGTTCAGACGCGCCTTATTAGCCCTTATCAGTTCCAATCAGTCTCAGTTACCCATCAACAATGACTTCGCCGGCCCTCATAACACTTGTAGGTATGGACGCTCTAGCTCCAGTATGAACGACAAAAGGGAAATTTGCGAAACACGCTTTCTAGCCCCCCTTGTCAGGTCTTATCATTCGTTGTCACTATATAACCCACCATTTGTGTCCACGTCCCATCTCCTATAGCATGTGCAAGAACCATGGCGCTACCATTGCTGTGACTACGAATTTCCGGTCAAACACACACATACACCAACATACACAGTTAGCCGATTATATAACACCAGTTTTGCTCCGCACGCTACCCTGCGCATGACACGGAAGGCCTCAACAAAGCTTTCAGCTGGTGGAGCATTAGGTTTCACCACTTAAGAAAAGCTGCATCGTTATATGCGTTGTCCATTGCATAGGTCGTCCATTTTGGCAGAAGCTGTTCGATAAGCGCAGTGAAGTGCGGAGCTAAAGTGATGGATTTAAACAACCACCATGTCTCGAGCATCAGGATAATTTAGCGGTCGAATAATATTTGATGATGTCTAAATGGAATACCCCGCACTCACTATTGTATTTATTCGAGCATGCCAGTCCCTTTAGGAACTCTGGAAAGTGTAGCGGTCGAAAAGTGTATCAGTTTACGATGACAACGCTAATGAAAAGATATTGAAGCATTATCTAGAAACTGGGTTCAAACGAGCTCTACTTTCGTACACATATATTTACTATGTCTTTAACAAACGTTCTCGCTTTCTGACCCACATCAAGTATGTCCTGGCCCCTCCTTGTATTATACTTGAAATACAGCGCTCCACGGCTGTCTCACTGCTGCTGCGAAGTGTGAAAAAAGCGCCTCTTATATGCTCTTTTCTGATCTCCACCGGATATGTTCCCGTCCCATCCTTATATCGTATCCCAAAATCAGCTTTTGTCGACTGTTGCGAGGCGCACTATGAATTTAGCGAAATAAGCGTTTTAGCGCCTCAAGGCAGTGTCATCCGCTGATGTTGTACCTAATAGAGGTGCGATGTTTTTGATCGCTCTTTTGCTAGAAGGCGAAGTAGTACCGTGCAAACGCCACACGTGCGGATACATACACACCTGCTAGAACCTAACAAAGTATGTCCGCCTCAGCCTGACTGCTAATACTGCGAAGTTATCCGACGGTGAATGGTCTGCATTGATGGGTTCACGCACATGGGACTGGAGATCCAAAGAGGGCTAAAACGTTATCTGGAGCAACGAGGGTAATTTCAAGGTATTTGTCGGCGACCGCATTAGGCATGCGTGGAGTCCTAACGGCAGCGTTCCAATCGAAAGTATCGACAGCCAAACGTGAAACTAGGCGGAGATTCGGGTGTGGCAGTCCGTAACAGATGTGAACCACTGACAGGATTCGAAAAGTGGTGAATGAGGATGTATCACAAGATTTCAACTTAGAACATAGGATGTATACCGTAATCCACGTTAGCGCCAGAGTCGTCAGTACTACTGTGAGAGCGATCACGATCAAAGGGGCTGCCCCGGATCTCCAGGGCAGCGATCCAAAAACGGAGCGGCGTCGCAGCGTTCGCCCCTGCGGACTATAGCTTGCGCTGCGAGGCCGAACGGTGCGCGCCCAGGCAAGGAGTGGTGGTAGATGCCGCCCATCCCACGTGAGGCCAACCCACCAGATGGCCGCTCTCCACGTTCGACATAAATGGCGCTCAGTATGATTGATGAGTTTGCTCGACACATTCTGTTCTCGTTGAAAGAGCGCAGAGAAAATGAGAAGTGGGGTGAGCACACATAAAAACCGATAACACGTGACGTTGCGGGCCCCACTGCCGACACCATAACGTCGAGATGGTTACGGTATACTGCCTATGTTAATAAACTTATAATCTTCTGGAGAGTGGTTAACTAGTCAGTGGTCGTGCTATGTCAACAGCTCGGTTAACAAGTGCTGGTGTCTCAGTGAGGATGAGGATTACCCAACACTTTCAGTATTACCCCTCCTGATCCCGGGGAAGGCTAAGCCTTGGTGGAAAATCAAGCAATTTTCTTTTTCCCAAAAGGTGACTCCTCTCCCAGGCTTAGTCCACATAGCGATGCATCCCCCCCCTCAAAACAATCAAATCCTCTATATGCATCATTAGAAAATTACTCCAATACTTTTCAGGAAAATGACCGTGAACTATATGAGAGATGCAGCCACCGTCAGGGTGGGTACCTTCATAAGGTTGTTGTTCCGTTGGAGAGGCAGTGTGTGGAAAATTATATGGAAAGAACTCACTATTTACCTTTTCTTCTACTTCAACATATGGTTGGTGGAGTTTCATTGTTTCTGTTATTGGAAAGCAGGATATACTGAACCTTTAGAGTGGGTGATCCAAGGCCATCGCGGACTTCCAGTGGTGGACGCTTTCTTTAGGGCATATTCCATCACTATCATTTCGCTCGACAACAAGACAGAGCGCTAGGCCGACAACAACCCGGCCGGGTGTCTGCGTCTCGCCCGTACCTATGCTCTCTAATCTCCGTGTTGTTCTTCTTTCGGAATGCCTTAATTGTCTAGTATTTGTTAACTAGTCCTCCAACACCTCCACAACCCAGTTAATGGAAGCCGTTTTCATCCTATTTTGACAGTCTCTTTTCCTTCTTCCATTTAGTGTCAACTTCTTAAGTCTTCTTTCATTTTCGCGCACAGTAGCCACAACTAGTACAACAACAGGTCGTAATTATAGTACTTTTTATTTGCAGTGTGGTGTACCGATTTTTCTTGAAAGGAAACGAATACGGTAGAATATTCGAACGTCTGGTCAGACATTGTCGTTCGTTATCACGTGAAGCTGCCACAGTCCTTTCGTTCGCAATGGGATTCTATGTGTCACAAATTTCAGACAGGTGAGTTTCAATGAGGACTGAAGGACGAAGCATTTGCCCTGCCTGAGCTCATAAAATTGATCTTTACTCCAAACCTGCGAAGAACAGCCTTTGCGTCTTCCATCTAAAGCTTGCCGTTGACCGAACACCTTCAAAGGCATGTGAGGCTTGACAAGGGATTCAAGCCAAGGATTGTGATAGCAACTTCAACTGCTTCAACACCATCTCTCTTATCATCGTTTGAATTTGGTGGTGCAGATGCGTTTTGGGTCATGGCCGCTAGCGATAGTCCCACAGCTTGACACAACTAAAATTTTTTCAAGCACAGACGTGATAATTAAACTTATAGGAACGAATATTGCGTCGAGTAGCTTTTACTGTTGCTATAAAGCAGGGAGCAATTCCTGGAAGGTGGAAGGGTTCTAATGACTGAATGGAAAGGCCGTGGGAGTGTGGTCGGGATCACCTTCCACCAATGGTGCCCAATGACGTCATTGGAACTGCCTCGCTATTATGAAGTTCAGAATGGGTCTACCTGAAACAATTAACAACAATTGTTCAAAAGATGCTGCAGCTGATTCTAAAATCTTGAAAAGAACCCTCTCATTAAAGTTTTGCATAAGTTGTGTGACTCTCACAAGGATCCGACCGGGATTTGACTCGGTGAATTGAGAACAGTGCACAGAACCATTTGCTACAATTCTACATATGGTCTGGTGTCATATGTCTCGTCACTGAACTGCTGAATGTTTGACATCGTAAAATTTGTTGCTCTAGTAGGTGGTGTGAGGGGAAGGTCCTCGTGTGCAGGACGTGCCTTTGTAGCATATGAAACTTTCTCGATCAAGCTGCTTTAGTCTGCTGAGCAAGGCAACGGAGCTAATGTGCAGGCTGGAGGGAAATTCCTGATCGAAAACTAACCATCTTTGTAACGATCCATATTTTGTCATAATAGGATCTCCATCTATGGAGTGTTCACCATGATAGGTAACAACATGGACAAAGCGACCCAGCAGCTTTTCGGCTTCTGAAGCCCAAAATGGTGGCGCCTGTGATTCAAAGAAGTCGGAGAGCCATGCTGCATTCCAAGTGATCAGTTCTGTTACTTCGCGAAGGTGGTGTTTGAGCGCGCATATCGGATGGTAACCGGATAGACTATATCTGGTGAATGTACACGCTGAATAGCGTAGGCCTCCCATCTGATTGTGAGTTCGATAACTTGTAAAGATGCGATCGGGCATGGTCGTGAAGAAGACAAAAAATTTCCACGTCTCGACGACTTATGTCGAATAGTGTCGCCCTACATCTAATATTCAGATGCGTACCTCAATGTTCACGGCGAATCCGGCAGAGAGCAGTACAAAACAAAACTTTTTGAGAATATCACCAACAACGGTGCAAACCCATTCTTCGCTTAGTCAACTTTTCGCTTTTCTGGGGAGACGCACCGAGAGACAGTCACCGGTGCGTTGTTTGTGGTTGACATGCCAAACCCGTGACCGTTCCTAGTAATGACATTTTGTTTATCTCTTCCCTGTAAGGACAGAAGCAAAGAATTCCATACACTGATCCCGGAATTCTTCATCCGAACCACAGATATGATGTGAGTTCCAACTCAAGTCTACCTCAAGAAGTAGCTTGCTATGAAAGTGGGCGACAGTTTTCCCTAAGTGTCTGCAAACGTTAACTGGCGTATGTTAGCACTGAAACTCGCCCCCTAGGTGTTACACAAAGTCTCGCTGTCCATGAAGTCGGACGACCGGAACGAGCTTGATCTTCAGTGAAATCTCCTTAACGAAAGCTCTCATATCAACTTCGTACGTTGGGTGGAATGTGTCGACTTTCTTGAATGCAGCGCAGTGTTGACGACGACGGATGTCGAAATCAATTTTTCTAGGAAGCTATGAAAAGCTATGGCTTGCAGATGACTTCAGTCAACTGAAGTCATTACTGCGTAACAGGTGCAGGTATTTATACACTGCGTTTTATAAACATCAGGTCCACCCTAAATTTTTGCTATGGTGAACAAGGTCCGTGGCGAAATGCGGCTTTTCGTGACCAAAACTGCCGTGTAGAGGGTAAAGCAGCAGAGCGAAACCATCATCAGAAATCAGTGAAGTGCATTCTAAGATTATCAGAGCACCACGGGAAGGCACTTCTCCATTCCGCTATTACGACATTTCGCGATCTTCGACTCTGCCTCCTTGCTCTATCTTCCGGGTGCTCTGAAATGACGACGGCAGTCTTCAGCCTAGGTGGACCTGTTAGAAAAAGAGGGTATAGGGGCATCTCGTGGAAATTCATGGCTTCAAAGCAAGGTAATTTCGGGGGAAAATCTCCTAAAGTGTGGGGCTCCTTTGAGCGACTGAGCAGCTCGAGCTGGCTTTTGTTTTCTCTCACATGGATTCCACAGAGTACTGTGAAGTTGTTTCGAAACGACTATTCCCATTCTTTTGACAACACCGCCCTCAATCCTTCATTTTTATGCACGTTAACACGGCTATCCATGTCGGTCTTTCCACGCCAGATGGAAGTGCACGAAAAAATATGGCAGCTTTTTAGTGGTCCGCAGTCTTCTGAATCAGATTCCAATGAAAATCACCATTATTCCTTCATTATGAAGGAGTTCTACAATGAAAAAAGCAAAATGGAGCAATGGAAGAACTGAAAACGTCCATTATCGGCGCAAAGACAAACTTTGATTCTAATGAACTGGCTAACTCGGTTAAAAGCTTTCCGTAACGTATTAATGGGTCCCTATATTAATGTAGAACCATATCATTATTGAAAAGTTGGAAAGTTTTTGTTGTTGTATGAAAATTTCAGCGAAGGATGTATAGTCATGTTTGTGAAACAGTGGAAATTTGTTCCAAAAGGATATTCGAGTTACTCAAAATTAAAAATTCTTTAGAAAATCATAACCAGGGTTTTTTGCTATGAGGAATTCATTGGTGATCGCAATGTTTTTCAAAAATGCAAGACAATTTTGGATTAGCAAAAATTTAGAGTGGACCTATATTCATGAAACGCTAGTGTATAACTGCCGAAGCGGAGCTCTTTTGACCTTAAACCTTCAATTTTCATGGAATTCTTGTTAGTGTTTCCGCGAGAAACTCAGGAAAAGATTTACATATCGAAATTCTAAAAGATTGCTCTTTCAGGTGGTGGAAAGTCTTCATGACGATTCCCTGGCCGGACACTCTCGGTCTTCAAATGTGCTCCTTTATAAGATCGAGAAGTGGAGAGAAAGCGTCGGTAAGATGCATCAATATATATTCTAGGAAAAAGAAATAAAACATCTTGCTATGTTTCTTAAAATCTCGGGCTCCGATGTGGTTCTGGAAACTGATTTACTTTTTCAGCACACATTTCGTCTGTAATCGCTCTTTCCAGAACCTGAGCACCATCTCAGTGGCACCGTTTGCTGCGTAACACTCACTGATTCAAGGTAGCATCGGAAGAGTCGCTTCGATGCAGGGCGACATTTGACTCCTTTTTTAGATGGACATGGCCAATATTCCAAACTAGCTGGTTATTGCTGCAACCTGGACACTAAAATTGATAAAATAGCTTGAGGAAACCTCGCAATACAATTTGTTTAGCACATTGACGACTGCGTGACACAGCTGCGGGTCCCACTTGGCACATCACGACAGCATTGTGCGTCTGTTGCGCATCCCACCGAAGCCATTCCATTTTCTCGCGCTTGCGTGCCTCCGGATTTGTTGGCATTCACTCTACGGATCATGCCATAACATAACTCTAAACAACATGATTAACCGTACGATCAAATATGCTTCAATTTAGCAGAGGTTTTCTAATCGCTACAAAGTGACAGCTCTTTTCATTCCTCGTTTTTTGTTCTCATCACTACAAAATGAATACTAGATAAATGCGTAGTGAGTACAATCAACACGGTTTTTCTTGGCACAACCCTATCAAAAATACTTCTGACTACTATTACAGACAAAATGAAAACTTTGCTTTTTCATAACCATTACATGTCCTTTTGATCGGAATTCCACCGCTACAACTCCGATTGAGTTCTAGCATAGAACATTGCTAAAATGGTTTCCCTGCACTCATGTTTTGCATAACTACCACTCAAAATTTACAGGTATGAGGTGAGGCAGCTGGGCTCCCAAAAACACTCCTGTCCCACAATGCCGCTAGGACGCACAGTCGTCAAGTGTTGTTGTTAAAACCTGAATAATTGAGTGGCTCTGATTTAAATTACCTAAATTATTTAAATATTTAATTTTGATTTCGATCTTGGGTGTCATTGGCCCCGGGCCAATGAGAGCGGGATGCTCGAGCGTAACTGATGCGCACACTTTGCTATAGAATCGTGTGGACTCTAGATACAGTAGAAATTCGTAATCCCGTGTAGACCGTGAACAGCGCCAACATATTTTGATTTTGCTTTCCGTACTCCTTCTGGTAGAAACTGCACTTTTTTTTATTGCAGAAAATTGACCGCCTGAGTAGAAAAACGGTAATGCGTTATGTGACACTGTGCTATGTGCTCGTCTTTCGGGATATAAGCGAGAGAATTCGACGTCGATTTCCCACGTATAATCACCTGGTGAGTTGCTGTGTCAGCTTGCTAAGTATTATCAACCTGATACTGCAACTGTGGTAGACTTGAATCTGTGCCGTTAAGCGGGAGGGGGGGGGCATGTGGTGCGATACATGATCATACCGCTTGCAACAATTTCAATTTTTGGTATGGGGAAATATTCCGAGTGCGTGGTTCATTCCGTCTCCACTTTCACACTCACTCAGAGAAGCTTCTTCTCCCTGCAGAAATTCGGATTACTGTGGGCGGCCACGAACTCTTGCACCAAATGCCGCCCTATATTTTGTGATAGTCCCAAAACCTTCTCAACAATTTTATGATGTACCAGGCAATTAATGAAAATCTTTCAAATAAATAGACTCTGTGTCCCGCCAGGGTCCTGTTCTAATGCAGACTAGGATGCAGGGTCAACCGCCGCGCAAAGAACAATGAGGGAGTAGTATTCGGCTAATAGAAGGGGGAGGTCGTAACCTCAAATAACAATCACAAAATTTGAAGGTGCCAAGGCATGGCAAAGTTGCAAAGGAGGACACTTTCAAGTACTACTGCGGCTATGTGCCACAGACGGCTGGATGGCTCATCCCAGAGAGACTCCTCACTAATACGTCTTACGAGTTCGTGTGAATTTTTTGGATCTCATGCCACAAGCTCCTTCAGCAAATGCCAATTATGTCCACGTTGGCTTCAGAGAGGGCGCATCTTGCAGTAACTTACAACCGAGTCATGCCCACCCTAGTTGCCTTCTTTGAGTTCGAAGTGCGAAAAAAATAGCTATTTTTATCGCCTTCTGACTCAGGAACTTCTACTATGCCGCAATCGATCTGCTGTAAGAAGCTAAAGCTGCTATACAATTTCTTTAATCGGTTAACTGATGGATAGCCACCCAGAGAAGTAGCTCTGATATGCAACACTCCTTACGACCAACCTTTCAGAATACGTCGAGCTACCCCACGATCGACGAGAACCGAGTTTGAACCGTACACCACGCTCGCGCGGGGGAATCTTGTGGTGTGGTTAGGGTGAAAGGATAGTATGGAGTTTTTTTTGATAGAATAGAATACGCTCTTTATTCTTAGTCGGGAGCATTTTAGCTTTTCCCCGTAAAATATGCAGTGCTACAGCAAGCGCGGAGCATGTGCGGAACCGATGAAATGATCTGAAAAGGTTGAAGCGCCAAGAGCCGAGGACGCAGCATTAGCGCATCTCATCCTCATTGAGTCTACGACTATGCCACCTGACCTTCTGAACAGATCACTGAGATCTGGGAAAGCTTGACCTTGAGCTGTTGTTGGAAGGTCGTAGTAGAAAATTTGGCAAATGCGGAAGTTAACACCAGATCCTATGCTGCAACCATTATCGAGAACGATGTCATTCAAGTATCAAAAAAAACAGGACGAAAAACAAACACAAAAATACAGAGAACAGAAAACCAATAGGAAAGCCAACACCAAGCAGTTTCCTGTGTTGATTTTTTGTGACCTTTTGACCGTGGAATAAAGCCAGCAGTTGGTGGGAGCACGCTGGGATATGTTTCTCTTCCAACCTTTCCTTATAAGCAGCCAACAAGAGGAGTATTTCAGTCCTTGGCGTTATTTCCTGCCTTATTCTGTAACTTCGGTTCGCTAAGCATCCAATACTTCATGACTGATTGCCTAACTCTCTCACTTTATCCCGGATTCCGTCTTCAATCAACGCCAATCGCTCCATTTTATATAAGCATCCGGGAATATTTATATATATATAATATCTATATATAAATAATATATATTATTTTATATATAGTATATATATATCTATATATATTAATATCTATATTATATATATATATATAGTATATATAATATCTTATTATATACTATATATATATATATATATATATATATACTATATATATATCTATGATATATATATATATATATATATATTATATATAATATATTATTATACTATATGTATTACTATCTAATATATATATATATATTCCACTAAAGACATGAAAGATACAATCCACGCGGAAGCCGTGTGGTGGATTTCATCCGGTCTGTAGGATAAGCACTTAAAGAAAATTCACAGATATGACACTCCCTTACATGGAACTTGCGCAACAAGTGCGTAGAGCCTTACACAGTTGATGCTGCAGCTGCAACTTCCCCGTCCGTGGAAGGCTTTGTGCCTTCTCATCTGTAGCGCTCTCTCGCCCCACACTCTCCGCGCCCCCACTACCACTGGTTTAGCACAGTCGTATTGCGAAAATGGGCAACCCCCTCAATCTAAGCATTTCCGATAGATTCTTTTTCTTTTCTTCACTATCGGCCCACCAGTGCTTTCAATTGTATGCAAGAGTCGTCATTTGATCCTGAGGCATACCTTCAAGGTACCTTCATTGTTGACCGAAGCCGAGAAGAGCCGTATCGAGAAGGAAGATATCAAGCGAGTCTACTGGATGCCGATTGAATGGGCAACTCAACTCTTAAGGAAGTTCTATCGTAAGGGACAAATCGATGAATATCATTTCGGAATACTATGCGATGTAAGTTCTTACCTACAGCAAGAAATAGGGTAGGAAAAAGTTTGAAAGATTCTGTAACAGGGATACCACATATAAATCACCCATTATTAATGGTGTGGTTCTGATCAGCAACACTGTTTCGCCTCTCCTAGAGCATCTTGCAGCTTTATAGGATGGGCCAAAATTATGGTAACCGAGGCATTGCAATGCCGAAAACGAATTGAATAATGTCGAAACAAATCATTTCTAAAAGTGTTGATACCAACATTCAAATACAAGATAGCATTAGAATTGGAATCTATCACCTTTTACTTCCTCACAGGCCTGATGAAAACGAGAGACGGTGCGGACAGTGGCACTCGGAAGGACTCGTCGAGTTGATCCCAAGTTTTTTTTGCAGTACCTCCTTGGGAACTTCCACGTTCTTGTGTGGTCTTGCACATGCTTGTGCTTCGAGTGTTGACCACACTGAAGAATCCGAGTGTCAGGGCTGCTCGGTGGCCAATCCTCGAAAGTTATGAAGTCGAGAATTTCTTCTTGCAAAACTCTTAAACAATTTCCGATTAATGGCAAAGCCTTGTCAACCTACGCTATTCAGCATGGCCAGCGTAGGTTGACAAAACGTCTTCTTGTCTATGGTATGAAAGAAGTTATTCCTTCACCAGTTTCGAGCACGCTTCTCCATCAACTTTTACTCCTTGTGGTACGATGATCAGCGTTTTCGTACTGGCAGCTATGGCCGCAAAACCCATCAAAGAAAGTGGGTCAGTTTTGCGCTCAATCGACCCCTTGAATTTCGCTAAATCCTATCGTTCTGCTTGTTCAGACCGTGTTCCACAGTGTGACAATTCTTCCGGTTCAATAGGCGTTGGCATGCAAGCGATCTTTTACAAACGTAATGCGCATAGAAGTTCGTGAGAGGTCCATTTCTCATGCCATTTTATGCACGGACGAGCATTTCGTTCATTTCATCGCAGTCCTTCACCCACTTCTTGAAATTTTTCCTAGGCATGATTGTGGCTTTCCTACTGCCTATTTTCCGATCTGCGACTGTTCCTCTTCAAACCGTCCTATGGTCGACCATATGAGTCTTGGAAATGTAACGTGCCAAAGGTCTTAGCAGACGCAAACTGTTGTTTGATTTGCGATGAACAGACGCTTTCTTTATTTCTGAATTTGCTACATTAAATGTAGGCATGAAGAAAATAAGGTAGTCTATCATAGTAAATACGAACGCGCCAACCTCTTCCTCTTCTTCTTTGCCTTAGTCCTGTGCAGACGCTGTATTTGTCAGCCGTCGAAATGTTGTTCTATCCAGGGCATCTCCGCGGAACCAACCCATTAGGGAAGAATCGATATTCGCATCCGCGCGCGTGATCAGCATATTGGTCCACAATGTACACACACCTTTTCAAAACTCGTTTGATTGCAAATCATACAAAGTGGCCTACAACTTGCCCATACTAATTTGAGCTGACCAAATAACTTAAGCAGATTCAAGCTTTTTGAGAGCACTCCAACGGCAGAGTTCGTATAAACCCGAAGCAGCACTCTCTATACTCGTCAGGAACGAATATCACATTGTCAAAAACTACAAAGACATCAGCGAATATGGCGTATCAGTTCTGTTGACACCTGTGCTTTTGGTAGTGAGTGAAGCTAGTACGTTCCATGAGGCCGACTACGGTAGGTGATGCCCTTTGGTCAGGGTCAACCCAGCGGGTCAAATAGTTACACGGATGGAGGAAAAAACAAAATCTTCCTAGAATAGAAATGGATCCCTTCCTTGCCCACAGATCTGCGCGTTAAACGTGTCTCGTCGGTGCTGACCTCATCAATGCTAGCGCTCTATTAGAGGTGAATTTTACGATAAAAAGGTAGCTAACTGGAAACAAGGGTAGAGGTGATCAGAAATGACCCGGAATCCGACAAATGGGAACCTCTCCTTGATTGCTGATTTCTACATTGATGCTACTCTCATCGCTGTGTTTTTTCCAACGATGGCGCTCTCTGCTATCTAATCACTCGCCGCATATAGAACTGCGGCGAGTGCTCCGATAGTCGGTGGGCGTTCCAGACCAACTGCTCCGAAAGGAAGGCCATGCTCGAAAGATTGGAGGCATATCCTTTAATGCGAATTGCGTGTTGGTCCGCATCCTTAGTAAGTCTGCCGTCTCTCTTTCTACTAGGAAGGTCACCATTTCTTCAACCTTGCCTATATCTCTAAATCCACCTTTGAAGTACAGCTAGCAGAACGAAGGAAGGGTGTTGTGGTAGTTTCAAAGATACTGGTTTTCTTTGCGATGCACACCATAATGATAAATTATGTCGGATATCAGCGGTTATTTCTATCTCTCTATTTTTATCTCCCTACTTTTCGTCTCAAATTAGCTTCAGATCAGGCCCATCACAGCAAAGAGCGGAACAGGAGGCAACAATTGCAAAAAATCTAAACAAATATTCGATCGATGCAATGTCCATTTTGAATTTTCAGACGGTGCTGAAATACCGTGAAATGATGCACAACCTGCTCTCGTACGACTGGGTAAACGTACCTTTAGTGTACACACAGGTAGGGCTTATGTAAACGAAATTGTTGTGATCCTCATAGTGTTCGATAAGGAATGATACATAACAGAGGGATCCAAAGCCTGCTTGCGGTGATCGACGGCTGCCCTAAGTGTGCCGGAGACCTGATTTCTGTGACTAGTGGGCGATTAATATGGGTAGTATGCATTGCATACGCCGTAAATTCCACAGCTGCATAAGGTGAGGCAATCACGGCTACAAAATCCAGATTTCGAAAAGGTCGCAAATGGTTGATCATTTGAGATTGGCGCGAATTTTAATTGGGTCTACTTGTCTATGAATTTTAATGTGGATAACACTCAAAAGAGTATCATCAAATCTTGAGACTAGCCCACTCGTGTTGCTCTTTCTATGAATGCATTTTGCGGTTGTGGGGCTATACGTTAACCACGCAGGCGAACCAGCCGCAGTGATACCGTAGTCTGATTGTTGGTCCTTCAAACTTTCGATTTTGACAGCCCACTTCTTCGCGCTATTTGCTCATTTGAGTTCTTTGACAGACTGCGAATCCAGCGATTGAATCGCGGTGTACGAGCGTTGCACGGATCGGGCTGTGTACCAGGGACTCTGCTGTTTGAGAGTAGCCGGAATTCCACTCGTTTGCAGATGTCTTTCGCCGCTTTTTGAGCTCTCATGCTCTCGTGAGCCCGAGAAAGTGGTGAGAGATAACATTCAAGCCCCCAACTTTCAAACAGTGTCGAGTCGCGCACAGCTTTCGAACCGCTGGTACACAGCTCGGTCCGCTGATGCAGCGCTCGCGATTCAATCGCTGGATTCGCAGTCTGTCAAAGAACTCAAATGAGCAAATAGCGCGAAGAAGTGGGCTGTCAAAATCGAAAGTTCGAAGGACCAACA